TTGGACTTGGCCGCCTTCTCGAGTCTCCGCTGTCTCCTGATCTCCTCTTTCACCGCGGCGAAGGCATCTTCGTCTGCATCGTCGGCGGAGGCGGCGCTGATGTCCTCATCGGCGGAGGATACTTCCATCGAGTCGTCGGGCCGTACTGGCGCGGCGTTCTTGACCTGCTGCCACGCGTCGCGGCACTCCAGCAGCGTCTCCATGACGTCGTGATCGCGGAGTTCGGCGGGGTCGAGCGTCTTTTGGGCTGTTGAACCGTCGCGTGCCGGGGATGTGAGGATGGCAAAGTAGCTTGCCAGTGCGGCGACGTAGCAGCCGAGGATCCAGTACTTTACGGCCTCGAGCGATTGGCTCGACTTGCCGTGGGCGTCTTTCTGCAGGATGGCCAGTTGCGGTTGCAGGGTCTGGAACTCGTTCACCAAGTGCTCGAACTCGGGGTATCTGCTCTGGAGGATCTTTGTACGCTGCTCGGGACCCATGTCGTCCGTGATCTCGACGTCCTTGAGAACCTCTGTGACAACGTCCTGGTCCTCTTCGTCCTCCTCGGCGGCTGCCAGCCATTCGCCCTCGTCGAACAGAAAATCCTCCTCGGACATCTTAGCCAGCTTCTTCTGCTGGAGGCGCTTGGCCTCGGCCTCTTCCTCGAGCGCATCGGCCTCGGTCTCGATTTGGTCGGCATTGTAGTATTCCTTCTTTGAGGAACCCCACCAATTCGGGTCGTTCTCATTCTCTGCCCCTTCGCCCTCTTCCTCAACCTCCTCCTCGGCCGCAGCAGCCTTGCCCTTCTTGGACTTCCGGGAGGGCTTCTTGGTCTCTTGGTCGGAATCGTCGCCGTCGTCGAGGTCCAGGATTTCTTCGTCCGAGTGTTCCAGGAACTTGTCCTCCTCGTCGGCTTTCCTTCTCCTCTTGGATTTAGGGCCCTCGTCGAACATGATCTTGTCGCGGTTCAGGAAGTACTCGTCTTCTGAATCGGCGACATCTTCGTAGCTGGTGATGGGGCCCAGACGGGCATCGGCGGGGTCGAAGTCCTTGGGGCCAGTGCGCTCGTTTTGGCCAGAGGCCTTTCTCTTCTTCGCCATCGTGGCCGATTGATTTGACCGAACAGATCTGGGGTCGAAGCGTAGGGTGGAAGGGTTGGAGCGAAAGTCGATTTCGGTGATGAGAATCGGGCGTTGGATGGGGCGGGATCTCTTTGCTGCACTTTGACGGCTACGAAAAATGTTCTTGCACCGTCGAGCGCAGAACTTTTTAGTGGAGATGCATCGGCAGGGATGTTTCTCATTGGTTTTGAGCCTTAACCTAACGGTGGGGTCCACACTTGGCCGTCCCACGGTCAAATCGATGTAAGTCAGCAACATATCACTCAACTATCACCGTCTCAAGCACATCATTTGCTCTCTTCAATGGGAAAAAATTGGAATATGATTTTTCCCAAAGCTCGAGGATACATGATAATCTCCGACCAAAATTGAATTCGAATACAAGCTGGTTGCACGATATATGAAGGATCTAAGACTACTTCACAGTCACATATTGTACTTTCTTAGCGACGCAAGCTGGCAAGCTGGGTCAGCATGCTCAGTTGACAGAGCCGTTTGAGATGGGCACCTTGGGTATTGAGCGGCAGGAATGTACAATTGGTGAAAATCGTATTGAATTCAACAAGCTTTCGAAGTGTCAGCACTGCTGTAAATCAAGATTGAAATCAGGAGGGCTAACCCAAGCTGGCCAACCTGTCATACCATTCCACTAGACGAACGCCGTCAGCAGCCACTTGAAGGTACAATTTACCCCACCAGGAACGACAGGGACCTGGATCCTAATAGCTGCGCACACCCACGTACCTTACTGGACCGTACCTACAAATACCTTAGGGGAGCACGGGAGCTACTCCAGCTACAACGCCTCGCGCGTCTCGAGCAACTCATCGCCGACATAGCCGGAACATAAAGTCACGACGGCTCCCTCTCTCCCCTTTTCCAATCGCCCTCGGCCATCTTCTCTCCCAACTCGAGAGGTATGGAATACGCGTCGCAAGCTCTCTGGATCGCCCTGCCCGCCCTCGCAGCAGCCCTTCTCGCATCCGCAATGGGTCTGTTCAACTGGAAGAATCACATGCCCGTTGATGGCAAGGTACGCTCAATTCCTTGAACCCCCCCTTTTATTCACATACGCATACTCACCCGCACTCTTCCCCAGACCGTCCTCTTAACCGGCGCCTCCGAGGGCATGGGCCACAGCGTCGCCCTCCAACTCGCCGCAAAGGGCGCAAACCTCATCCTCATCGCCCGCAACGCCGCCCGCCTCGAAGAGCTCGTCGCCGAGTGCAAATCCGCCGCCAAGAACCCGTCCACCCAGCGCTTCACCTACATCACCGCCGACATCACAAAGGAGGACTACGCCACGCCCCTCCTCGCCGAGGCCACCGCCTGGAACGGCGGCCGCAGCCCGGACGTCGTCTGGTGCATCGCCGGCATGGCCTCCACCGGCTTCTTTACCGAGGTGCCCTTCTCCGAGACCCGCAGGAACATGGACGTCAACTTTTACGGCACCGCCGAGATGGCTCACGCCATCCTCCGCGTCTGGCTCGCCCCCGATGCCCCCGTCGAGGCCGAGCCACGCCACCTCATCATGACCACCAGCGTCGTCGCCTTCTTCACCGTCGCCGGGTACGCCCCCTACGCCGGCTCCAAGTGGGCCATCCGCGGCCTGGCCGACACCCTCTCGCAGGAAGTTGAGCTCTACCCACAAAACGTCAAGGTCCACGTCGTGTTCCCCGGGACCATCACGAGCCCCGGCCTGGAGAAGGAGAACTTGACCAAGCCCCAGATCACACACCAGCTCGAGGAGCTCGACCCCGTCCAGTCGCCCGACGAGGTCGCTAGGGCTGCCATTAAGGGACTCGAGCGTGGAGATTACTTTGTGACGGTGGCGTGGCTGGGCAGCTTGATGCGGTGGAGCGGTCTCGGCGGTTCCCTGCGCAACAACTGGGTTGTCGACACGCTGGGCATCTGCCTCTCATCCTTGGTCTGGATCTTTATCTTGCCCGATATGTTGAGGCAAATTAGGAATTACGGCAAGAAGCACGGGCATCCTGCGACTTATGCTAAGCCCCAGCCGAAGCCAAGTTCATGAGGAATCGGCTTTGGAGCTTAAGAAAAATGAAGGATAATTGATACCCCGTAATGTTTATTAATGACAACTCCAGTATCACACTATGAGTTTACTGCGGTTCTCTAACACCCTACAACCCCAGGGTCGGCGGGTGATCATAGAGTATAATGCTGGATGACTTGACCCTTTTCACGCCTCAGTCCCTGTCGGTGGCTGATCAATATGTCCATTAAAGACTTGCGATAGGTGCGTCTCCGTCCGGACGGTCAACGGCTGCAAAGTTGCGAGCAAAGCCTTGTACTCTTGTGTCTCCAAATGAGACTTGAGGTGCTCCTGAGTCTTTGCACTACATGTGGTGAGAAGAAAAGTAGGTGTTAGCGATTTGCAACATATGTCCCGGTGTAGTATGATAAGGTAGGAGCGAGAGGAAAAGCGAGAACAACCCAGTCCAGGAGCAACTACTACCCAGATGGGCCGTTCGTAACGAACTCACATACCGTAACCACAATGTCGCCAAACTCCTATCCATAACCTCTCTCAAAACAGCACAACTCTGCAACTCTCCCTCCCCAACCTCCCTCCCCCTCTGCGCTTTCCCAAACCCCTCCAAACTCCTCACAACCTCCTCCCTTCCCCCCTCCTCCACCGCCCAAAAATGCAAAACAGCAACCGCGCTATCACGAGAATCCTTCCCGGGGTCATCTTCCCGCTTCAACCAGCCGCCGGCGAGGTCATAGTGATGCAGATCATAGTCCGGGCTGCCGATGCCTTGAACGGTCTTTAGCAGCTTCTGCTCGTCCGCGAGGCGCATCTCGCGCTTGAAGACGTCGGTCGAGGTGTGGCCGAGGAAGAAGCCCGCCGGGTGGGTGTAGCCTTCGAGGCCCCAGAGGGTGTCTGGGGAGGAGGCGGAGAGGTCGTGGCCCCAGTAGTAGCTGTTTCCCAAGGGTTCGGTTGCGGAGACGGCGCAGAGGGCTACGAGTCTTTCTTTCCACTGAGGGGGTTAGCCGTGTGTAGAGTAGGTGCGTGAGAGTGCCTTGGAGGCTTTGAGAGTTCAACGCGATAGGTTGCAGGCTTCTTACTTTCTCCAAGGAGCCATCTGACCCGACGACACGGGCAACTACGAAGAACAACGGGCACGACATTCTGGCTCAAAAGTTTTAAGTGTTAGGTAGATGGGGTTTAACGTCGACGAGAGCTTTTCTGCCGCAAGACGAGCCCTGCCATGTACATCACGGCCTGCTTCACATATTAAAGCCCTCACATTCTCAGATATTTCGCATCGGCTGCTCATTCGGACGGTAGATTCCAACATTCAATGAGTGCGGGGGAGAGCTCTTGGAGTTGACATCTGGGCTTACCCCGCGGTTCGGTATGATTATCTCCAACAGTGTAGTCACCAAATCAGTCCGTCCGACGTTTCGAGACCTTGTGCAGCTACTTAGCGGAATACTTCGGGTACAGTATTCAATAAATTTTGCGCATACATAGCCGGCCAGAAAGAATCACGAGAGCTAGTAATGAGGCATGTTGCGGGAATACTTTTCCTGATTCCGTGCTCCTGTCGCTTGAGAAGCTGTCTTGAGCGTGCCAGCATGGTAAGAGATATGTAGGCAGTTATACGTTCTTCAAAATATTTACAATTGAGAAGTTAGCTTCACTCATGACTCTAAAGTGTCAAACCTCGCTAATTTGGGCGAAACGTCTGTTTATACGATACCATGAGTCCGGTTTTAAATAGTGTTTGATAGAGCATATTCTAGTGAAGGCTGTACAGTGAACTTCACGACAACTCTTGTGTCTAAAACATGGTGTACTCTACAGAAGTAACTATCTTCTAAGTCTTCTCTTCCACTTGAATGTCCAAATCTTTCCCGGCCCCAGAAATCTCAAAGTAAGAATCCCTCCGGGAGATCAGGCCCTGCGGCAAATCATTAAGTTAGACCGACATCAGTTAAACCTCTTCTATGAGAAGGGACACTTACCCCAGATGTGAAGGCTATCAGGAGACGCCTTGGAATGATTCGGCGGATGAGAACTATCCATTTGATCGCCGTCGACGTAGTGCTCAAAGATGAACTTGCTAGGGTCGAACCTACGTAAATATTTTTGTCAGCCGGACGGAAGTAATGCCACCCAAGCACGCCCAAACTCCCCTCGGAAATGGCAAAGAGGAAGTAAACTCACCAATAATCAAAGATTTGACTCCCCATGACATGCCGCCCAACGCCCCAGCAATTCTCATACCCCCGCTCGCGAAGCCAGTCATGCCCGAGGAACTGCAGATCCGAGTCGTGGGTCTCGAAGGAGGCGTGATGGACATGGAACTTTGGGCCCTCAAAGAAGAAGAAGGAGTGGTGGTCTACGAGTTCTTCGCCGCGGTCGAGTCGTAGGAAGACTGTGACGTTGCGTCCGGTTTCGTCGTGCACGAGCTGCACTCTCTCGTGAGTTACTTTTCCTCGGGCACCAGAATGATACGAGGGGATCAAGTCAGGGAGTGTGTCTGACTTACGTCGCTGGGGATGAAGTTGAACCGAGTCGTGAAGAAGTCGTACGTTTGCTGAAAATCCGTCACGCACGCGCCAAAGTGTCCCAGTTTGTGCACCGGTGCCGGACCAATAGACTTGTAAGTTGGATTGACCAAAAACACGTTCAGATCTCGATTTACCTTTATCAAACCGCTGAAATGTGCCCGCCTCTCTGTGCTTCTCAGTCGGCTGTCATTGTAGTCAGACATCTTGCTACACCATCACAAGACAAGAATGACGGCAGAAACACGTCTATACATACAAAATTGAAGTCTCGCTCCGGAAAAACCGTCGCCTTCTCACGAATCACCTGCCCGAAAACAAGGTGAAAGGGAAACTTATCAACACCGCCCTCGAACGTCACGCACCGGCCTCCACCAGGAGCCTTGCTCAACTCGTACGGCTCCGAAGCCCCGGGGAGCGTCTTGGACGCATACTCAAGATCCTCCTCGGACTCAACGACAAAGGCCGCGCCGCCGAAGCCGTCTTTGGCACCGGCTTCGGCGCAGAGGACGAAGGGTTCGGGCCCGTAGCCCCGGTAGTATACGCGAGTGCCCTCGCGAGAGGCCTCTACGAAGCCAAAGTCGCGGAAGAAGGCTTCGGCTCGTTCAAGATTTTGGTAAGTATAGTTTATGTGTGCTATTCGCACGAGGTTGATTTTGCGGGGTGGAGCGGTCATCTTTGCTGTTGTAAGGTAGTTGAAGCTTGGTTGGGTCTTTGGAGGTGGGAACAACTTGTTCCTGGTCGGATATTGACACGATATACACTTGGAGGTAAAGGAACACTTGGAAACTTGAATCTTGGCATTCTGGCTATAAGTCTGAGCTATTCGAGTTTTATCATCCTTTTTGATAAAAATGTTTGCACTGCCGTAGTGTCTATCCGAGGTAGACCGGAGCAGCGTCGTCAAAGACCGTGCCCGACTCTCTCTTGTCTTGGAGAAAATTACCCCGACGCAACGCAATCAAGCCAAAGAATAATAGCCCGTCACATCTGTCCGCGGAACGGAAATACTCACCATGCATAGTTTCATTCGGATTTACGACGCTTTGATGCTGCGAGATAACCGGCCGAGTTCTTCTTTCGTATATGACGAAATTCGATCGTTGTCATCTATTCGTGAGAACATTTCTTCGGCGGCAAGCTCTTAACAACAGTCGCAATTGAAAATCATTCGGGGTCTCTAAAGATGACGATTTCGGAGACCGTCGCATCAACGACGGCCAGTGGGAGCCATGGTCCGGCGCCGGTGCCTCCAAAGGCAGATACTCAATCTCATGCGAGCAGCAGTGATTCCGCAGCTCTCGAGACTGACATGCTCATCATCGGCGCAGGTCCTGCCGGGGCCTCACTGGCTTGTTTCCTCGCATCATACGGTTCGTTCTGAGTGCGATTGGTTCTCGATGGGAGCTACCTTAGGCTGATATGTATCTTGACCTAGGACTCAAGGGAATCATGATCAGCGCAAGCCCCTCGACCGCAGATACACCGCGAGCTCATATCACAAACATGGCAGCTCTGGGTATGTTCTAGTTTCCGCTGGTCTCCGACCGCTTCTTTCCGATGTTCACCACGAAAACTTTTTGACATGTCTTCAGAGTGTCTCCGTGATATTGGTTTGGACAGAGAGCTTCAAGCGATTGCGACACAGGGTCATTGCATGCAGCACACGCGTTGGTGTTATAGCATGGCGGGTGAGGAGTTTGCGCGTATCCCTTCATGGGGAAGTGATCCCAGAAGAAAGGTAACTATTCAACACTTCACGCTCAGGTTCTTACCAGGCAAAGATCTCAGAAGCTCACTTCACTTAAGGGTGACTACGAACTCGCGAGCCCCTGTGACCCCGTCGACATACCACAAACCGCATTAGAACCGATCTTGGTTCGATACGCAGCACACCACGGCTTTGTCGTGAGATTCAACACCAAGCTCGTAACCTGGAGCAGGGAATCTTCTCCCGAAGGGAGGTACTTAGCCACCGTCTGGGACATGGTTTCCAAGACCAACTACTCCATACGGACAAAATACATCTTTGGCGCAGACGGTGCTCGAAGTCTCGTCGCAAAGACACTCCAACTACCTCTGGTAGCAAAGCCTGGCGGAGGCCTGGCCATCAACGTTCTCGTCAAGGCCGACCTCTCTCATCTAATGGACCACCGAAAGGGCAACTTGCACTGGTTGATGCAGCCCGGGGTAGACCATCCCAGCTTCGGCTGGATGGGCATCGCGAGGATGGTGAAGCCGTGGTTCGAGTGGATGTTCATCCTGTTTCCGGACAAGGACTTTGACCCGTCGGCTGAGGTGACTGAAGAGGCGTACAAGAAGCGGGTCAAAGAATTCGTCGGGGACGATACTGAAGTCGAGGTCCTTTCTGTCTCGAAGTGGTTCGTCAACGATATTGTTGCCGAGAGATACTCAGAAGGGAACATGTAAGTAAGCCCCCGACGGACCTTTCATCCTCGTACATCCATCGCCATGGCACAAAGCTAACGAAAAATCAGATTCTGCCTCGGCGACGCAGTCCACCGCCACCCCCCGATGAACGGCCTCGGCTCAAACACCTGCATTCAAGACGCCTTCAACCTAGCCTGGAAAATCGCCCACGTCGAAAAGGGCCATGCCGGTGCCGCCCTCCTCGAAACCTACAGCGTCGAACGGCAGCCCGTCGGTCTCGGGATCGTTGCCCGCGCCAACGAAGCCTTCCGAGACCACTACGCCGTGTGGCAGTCCCTGGGCATGCTGGAGAAGACGGCGGAAGAACGCGCCGCTGTCTTTGCGCAGCTCTCGTACACGACGAGAGAGGGGCGGGAGAAGCGTCGCGCGTTCCGCGAGGCTATTGGCCGGACGGCGCACGAGTTTCATGGGCTTGGCGTTGAGATGAACCAGGTTTACTCAGGGCCGGCGATCTATGCGGAGGATGAAGATGGGCCGTATGCGCCTTCAACGCAGGAAGCTGAGGATCCTGTTACGTATTACGGTCCTGGTACTTATCCTGGCCGACGAATTCCTCATGTATGGCTAAATAGGGCGGTACCGAAGGATCCCGTTTCAACTATTGATTTGGCTGGCAAAGGTGGCTTTACCATCTTCACCGGTCCCGGCGGAAGTCTTTGGCGCGAAGCGGCTGCTGCGGTTTCGGCGAAGCTGGGTTGCGAGATCAGGGTCTACTCCATTGGTTTCCGCCAGGATTGGGAGGACGTTTACTATGAATGGGAGCGCGTTCAGGGGGTCGAGGAGTCGGGTGTTGTTCTAGTTCGACCGGATCGCTTTGTGGCTTGGAGACAGAGTGAGGTATCTGCTGACTTGGACTCGTGTTTCCAGAAGCTCCTGCTGGTGATGAAGACCGTCCTGCTCCGTGTTGATGAATGATGGAGTTTTAGTGCCATAGACATACTTGAGTTAGACTTGTCAGATCTACTTATACGTTGCTCCCCGTACTCTCTGAACTCTAGTGTCTCATCAGAAGACCATAATCTTTTCTCCACGAGTTTTCTGGTGGTCGTTGTGGTCTGAATTGACTTCGATCAGCTGGTGAAACTCGCTCTTTCTCAACATGTGCGACATGAGCGTCCTGCGGTTTAGCCACTTGCAGCTTTCTACCTTCCTATGTCTTGGCTGTCCACTTACGTGTCAAAGCTTATCCTGCAACGAACATAATGTAGATAGGGAAGCGGAAGTGGTGACAGAAATTGGAACCGGGTGGCTGGAAATTGCTACTCAATCCTCACGATGGCCACGAAAGGTCCCATGCTCATTCCCGGGTTTTGCAGCCGCTGCCTTTGGGGAGCTTTCGCGAGCACCTTGAATTTGTGGGATCGAAGACTCCCATACATGTAGTCATTGACCCTTTTTATAAGAGTGTACTTCTTGCTGACATTTCGTTTGAAGATGAAAGAGGCGCAGGGGAGTGCGAAAGCACTGATTAGACCAACATACAGTAGTGAAGCGAAACGATATCTAGATCGACTGGCGGCAAGGTAGAGGAATGGCAGTTTACATTTGTCATTCCTCTACAGCATGGCTTGTTACCCGTATCGTTTGCTAAGTCTAGAAGTCACACTGGCATCGTCGGAACCACCAGGCCGAACCGCCAATTTGAGTCTCTTATGGTCAAGTCAGTCATACTGAGCCAACAAAGCCTCAGCCTCCTTGAACTCCCGTCGGATCGTCTCAATATGAGCCTGACTCCTCGGTGTAATCCGAACATGAAACTCCAAAGGCGCCTGCAAAATCCCAGGATTATACGCATGCGGATCCAGAAGCACAACCTTGCCTGTGACAGGGTCCACTGGCTCAGCAAACTCGAAAGCCCAAAGAAGCTTGGAGGCGATACGCCACATGTTGCGCTCCGCGAGGTGGATGCCGGGACAGATGCGACGGCCTGCGCCGTAGTTGTAGTGGTCTCTGTTCTCCCACTCCGGGCTGCCTGCGTAGTCGTTGGCTAGCTTGGGGTGCTTGAGGTACCTGTCCGGATCGAATCGCTCTGCGTCGGGGTAGTTTTCTTCGGTGTGATGGAGAGCCCAGGTGGGTATGAATATTGTTGAGTCTTTTGGGATCAACATGCCATTGTGTTCATCATCTTTAGACACGTTCTCGTTAGTACTACTGTTGGTTGGAGAATGAAGTGTCTGGTATCATGAACGAACCTTGGCGAACTTTGTGCGGAAGGGCAGTGACAGCACTGGATGTTTCCGCATGATTAGTTCTATAAATGCTTCCACGAGAGATGACAAAGTGGCGAGAAGACTTACACCGGACGCCAGCGCATACCCTCCTTAACGATGCAGTTCACATAAGGTAGCTCCGAAAAGTCATCCCAGCGAGGAGACCGACCACTCCCACAAGCCTCATCAATCTCAACCTGTGCTTTCCTCTGGACATCAGAATGCAGCGCAAAAGCGAGGACCAGAGTCAAAAGTTGCGCGGCAGTGGTATCGGCACCACCCTCGATGATTTCCCCCATGAGATTGGTAAAGGCGTGCTGGCTGATCTGTTCGGGCCAACCCTTCTCCTCGTACTCGTCAAGCAGGCCGTCGATGATGCAGTTTCGTCTCTCTCCGCGCGCGCGACGCTCTTCGACGAGTCGACGTGCTTTGGACCAGGTTGCGTCCATTGTCTTACCGGCGTCGAGTGCGCGGCGTTTCCAGAAGGCCATTGAGGAGGGGATGTATCGCAGGAAGGTGAAGACGTCTACCGGAGGGGCGGCTCCAGGCTCCATTGATGCTGTCCACTATGAGGCTTCACGTTAGTACACTGATGTCTGCCTGTGTGCCATGCAAAATTTATCTCACCTTTGCCATTACATCGTAGACTCCCTAGATCTGTATATTAGCTCGGACTTCACAACGAAAGGGGGCCAAGCTAAGCGTCACTGCATTTATTGAAATAGCTTACATATCCCCAGAAAGAGTTCATATCGGGAGCTCTAAAGCCGTATGTGATGGATGTTACCACTGAAGCAGTGTATCTTCGGATCTCGTTGAAGAACCCCTCAGGTTTGTCTAGAAGGCGAGTCATTAAGACCGTGGCCCTTTCACAAACATGTCAGCAACCATGAAAAGACAACTCAGAAAAAAGAGTCTGATGTCTGTTGGTAGCTTACTCTGCCTCTTGAACTCGAAAGTGTTGCTCGTCAAGCCTCTTTGGAGAGAAGTTGTGCGAGATCACCTTGCGTTTAGACCGCCATGTCGTGTCCATCTGCTCGAGAGCGAGGTGGTCACCGTGTGTGAGTAGTCTCCCCACATAACTAGGAGGTCGATCGGAGTAAATGCTGCCTTTCTCTACGAGAAGCTTATGGATAGCCTCACGGTCACACAGGACGATGATTGAGGATGGTCCAACTTTCAAGGAGAAAATTGATCCGTATTGAAGTGCCCA